TTTAAAATTCTTTCATCCGTTTCTGGCGATGAGTCACGTTTCGAAACGAATCCGAGCAACTGATTACTCATTCGAATATCCGATTTTCTGAACGAGCAGGTAAACGTGATTGTTCCGATGTGATTGTTCTGTATGTTCGAAGGACAGGTTTTTTTATTCTTATTCTGGTTTGGAAATAAAAAAACAGGAAAAAACGATTATTCTTATTTATTATTCGATTGGAGAATGCTCGTTGTTAATTTTTCTCCCAATTGCCGATTATATAAAATTGGAGAGCATTCGTATCTCGGCGTTAACTCGAGCTCTAAATCAATCTTTTATGCGTTGTGCTCGAGTACATTCGAGCGGCACTCTGTCCACGTTGACGCCTGATATTTCTTCGTATACACGTGACTAATGGACCATTGTCTTGACAACGACGAGAGGATGAACCGAGTGAAAATTCGTTCGCTAGAAATAATTATTAGGGGAGAAAAATTCTTAATAACTTAAAGAGAATTTGATTTAGATGTTTAATTTAGAAGGAAGATATTATCGTTACGATTCGTAAGGAAGAATCGTAAGAGGTGATTTCGTTCCGACCATCTAATTTTTTTTCTTCCTCTTTTCTCTGTTCCAGGTACACGCAGATGACGCGATGACGCTGCATTGGTGGATGCACTGGTTCTGGGTTACCGCTCAATTTCTCGGTAAGTTCTAAATGATTAAAGACATCTGGTACACATAACTTTCCGCCGAGTTCTTCCATCAACACGAGTCTTCCATTTGATTCCATAGATTCCAAGAATTATCTAACGCTTTGATTTTCAGTAATTTTAGGAAACCCAATGCCATCGAGCACGGTTGAGCCTCGTGGCCAGGTGCAGCAAGATCGCCTGAATTCGGAATCGACGTCCAAAATTACCTCGATCGAGACCGAGAGGAGCGAACCGAGACAGAGTTTTCGCGTGGCCAAAGCCATCGGTCTTCATCCATCCACGAACACGGCTGTAATATTAGACAGGCAATCGAGTACGATTTCGACTCCTGTGGAAATGGTGGCGAGCGTGGTCGAAACGAGTACTAATCCTATGGATATAGAGTATCACGGAAATGCGAGTAACGCGGTCAGTCTGGACTCGACGAAAAGTTTCACGTCTCAACGAGTCGCAGATACCGTGGACAGGATTCGTAATTCGGCGGTGAAAAAGAATAGTAAGATTACGTGGATCCTAACCACGAACAAAACCGGTGGTAGATCCAAGTATGAGCAAGAAGAGAAAATAGATGAAAATGGGAATCGAAACGATACCACATTGGACCAAGTGGAGGATCTTACGGTACTACCTCTTCAGGAAGAGGTGTCTAGAATCAGGCTGGTACTGAACAAAACGAAATCCTCCTCGCTCTTATCTTCTTCCTCTTCCTCCTCTTTGTCCTCCTCTGCCGGTAATTCCGGTATCAAGACGTTCAATCGATCCGACGATGTCGAGATCAACGACGACGACGATTTTGTCGAGTCACAATTATTTGCCACAGCTGCGTCGATTCTTGAAGGTAATAACATTTAATCAGAATAAAACGGAGATTGTATTATTTTCGAATTGAATTTCGAAAGAGCGTTAAAAATTTATTTGGTGCGAATTTTATAGTTGGTGTGAGCGAACCTACGCGGCTGAGCAGAGCGCGAAGCGCGTTTCCCAAAGATTTCCAGAGGGATCAAGTACAGGAAGATCATCTTTCCGATTACAATGAGAGCAATAGCGAGAACTCGAAGCAAGAGAATACTTCGAGATCGACGGTAGACATTGCCGCTATTACCGGAAGTTGCCTAGCGACTGTAGTTTTACTCAGCACAATGGGTAGCCTTGGATTCATTATGTACAGGTAATTAAAATGATTGCTTAGCAGTTAAATGAAATTTCAACGTTACACAGAAAATTTAATTAAAGACGTAGGTATCTGAATCCGCCGCAAACGCTTAATAGCGACAAATGCAGTAATCCCGATAGTTCCGGTTATATCGATGATTCCACTATTCGCGTAAGTATCATAATACTTCATTCTCTGTGTTAAATTGTTATTTCAAATAATGTTGAGACATTGTCGCTTAATATACGATATCTTGTTACAAATTATGATATATAATAAATGAGATAAAAAGTTTAAATGATTTTATATATTCTTATAGGATAATTCCGAAGAAATGTACAGTTTGGATAACGATTCGTTCTTAAATTCGTTAGAAGCAATGACAATACAGAATTATTGGACGGACAGTGTGAAGCATACGAAACTATGACAAAAGAAGATAATTCAACCCGGAAAGAGGATTGAAACGTTCAGTATTTCCGATGGTGAAGCGCACGAACAAGTATCGTTGTTGGAACAGTAGTACTTACACGACGAGTGCCCGGCGTTTTGTAATTAAATGCAAAGAGATTGAATTTATCGTAGTAATCGTATAGATATGCAGGAATTTTATTTTTTTCCGATTGAATCGTTAGCGATTTCGATGCAAGAATGAGCGAATAAAATATTTTAAACATTTTTGACGACTTTTTAGATAAATTTCGTCGGTTTTATAATTTCTTAAAAGAAACTGACGATACGTCAAAATTACAAGATTTGTGCGTGTATTATATTCGCGCCATATATCAAATACGCATATAAATTTGTGAATATTGAACGCATACGATATATAACGCAATATTTCACGCACATACTTGAATTTTGATTTTGTCACTCGTATTGTTCCCACTATTTTTCTACTACAAATGCAATTGGCAATAGTTAAATTTAAACAAGACAGCGATACGGTCACTTTCATCGGATTAGTGACTGAGTAGTGCAATAAAATGTACTTTATGGATAATTATTGAAATATACTTTTTAGAAGAGTAAGTACAAATAAGGTCATTAATGTTTAACTAAATATATATTAAAAATACGAGACATAATTTAATAAATCTGAATTCTCGTAAAATCAATTTCAGTATGATAAACAATTTCATTATTATTGAATATTTGTATTATTGAATTTTAATTTCTATAAATTGTACTTATATATATTAATCATTTTAATTTAAGATTCGATTTTAATATTTCTTATTATCTTTAAACTCTATTAAAAGATATACGATTTTTTCTAATAGGATAATAGAAATCGAATTGCTCGCTTGCATACACAATCAGCTTCAAATACTTTCAAGATAGAATCGGGCTAATAAAAAATCGGACCAAATACGTACTGTAGTTTGTAGCTTTATGCCTTTATAACATATCCAGCAAGAAGTAAGGAGATTTCATTCGTTTTTTTCACTTCACTCCAGCTTGTACATATGTACATGTATATGTACTATACAATTACGAATATATCTATGTATAGATATGCGAATTTTCTGACGGTTTCTCGAAACTTTCGAAATATAATTACGTTTTAGTAGAGGTTTGTTTGTTCAAATATATTTCTATACGAACCTTACATTAATGAAAAAAAGATTTATTGTGATAGATTATAGAATTTAATAAATGTAAAATTATCATAGATTTGCTTTATTATATATAATAACTGTGAATAAATCCTCACGTGTATTATTTTTACGCTTATTATATGTTATTATTATTGTTATTATATTATCGTCATCATTATTATTATTAAATATGAATTAATTAACTTTCCGTCTCTTTTGTTATACAATAAACTAAAATTTTTGTTATATTTTTTGCGTTCTTTTTGGTTTGTTTTTTTATCGTTAGATGACGCATATTTTATTTCTATGTGAGCGTACTTTTCTTGTATGGAATCCATCATACCGACGGATACATGAATGACTAAAGATAGATTCAGTTTCTTTTGCCAGCATGGCGCTTTATATATGTCACAGTTCTATATTTAATCTTGAACGGATCTTTGACACGAATATCATAAATATCTTACTCATTATATACTGTATATACATAAATAGTTAGTTAATTTACAGAATATAAACTGTTACATGATATTTGATTTTTTATACAATATTTTATGAGCAATAATGGAACAGAGAATGCTCACTTTTTGGAAAATAAAAAAAAAATATTTCTCAACGCGGAAGAAGTACTGTTATTTTTACTTCACGTATTTTCCTCGCAAAAGTATATATTTCGACAAAACGGCTGATGACACATAGATGTCGCTATATAACAAACAATGGCTGTATTCTTATGTTGTTATTAATGACATAAACACATTGGTTATACTTTTAATCCGGTATGCATCAGAATGAAAAGTATATACTGGTCAATCAATTATATGCCAATAAACTTGAATGTTTAAAGTCTATATTGCACACACGAAGTGATCTATAATAAATATTTATGGTTATACGACGCATGTTATTCAATATCAACTGTGATTTTTGATTCATATAATTAAGAGAAAATAAAAAAAATATTTTTAACAAAAATCTAGAAAAATGCAGTGGCCATCCTTTACTCTTATATTAACGGAATTATTTTTAGTTTATATAATTTATTCGATTTATAATTTATCTTTATTGTTTGTGGCACCAGCTTGTGAAGACAACAAATTATGCTTAACATCATATTTGAATCAAAAACCACAATTACAATTGCAAGTTTATAGTTCTGTCGATAGATATCCTACCGCACAACAAGTTGATTTTGTATATAATAATAAAAATTTTAATTATACTCATGCAAATACTCTGTAAGTATATATTTTTTTATATTATTTATATTTATATTATTTTATATTATTGAAAATATTTATACAATTTTGAATCTTTTTTATTTGAATATTATTATATTTTCAGCCCATTAACCTTGAATATTCCACGCAAAACACGAAACAATGGAACATTGTTTCTTCATATTATCATAGCACCAAATTCTAAGAAATATGAAAAAAATATTAATATACAAAAGGTATGTGTAAAAAATGATATAAACTTCGTTCATATATCTATTTTTTATAATAATTATTATAGGATCCATATGTATCTTCTATTACCATCAAAATGACACAATATAAAGTTCCTGAAGCAGAAGCTTTTAATTTATTGAGTGAAAAACATTCAGATTTAAAAAAAAAACAAAATTTAATAAATCCAGTAACACATATTAAGAGCCGTGTAACATTTACAATAATGACAGATGATATAAAACTTCCTATACATAATGTACCTATAGAACTTGTAAATCATTTGAAGTATGTTAATATTACTAATTTTAAATAATCATTAATATATAATAAGGATATGATAAATTTTTATTATTTCAGAATTATACAAGGCAAAACATTTTTACCTATAGTTAATTGTGATTTTTTACAAACTAGACATCATGATTTAATGAGAATCATGCCTCAAAACAATACAGTTAATATTACATTGCAATATTCTCCAATTTCTATTTCAAAGCTAAGATTGTTATTGCATGTGGAAGCTACTATGCAAAATTTAAAAAATCTTGGATTTTCTGATAAAGATATGGATGAAGTAAAAGGAATTTTTGTAGATACTAATATATATATATTGGGAGGAACTTTTCTTATTGCAGCCATTCATGTATGTAAATTAAAAAATAACTAAAATATAATTTGAAACAAAACTTAACAATATCTTACATTAAAACAGTTGCTGTTTGATTTCCTTGCTTTTAAAAATGATGTGAGTTATTGGAGAAGAAAAGATAATCTTGTAGGTCTTAGTAAATGGACTGTTGCGTGGCGAGGATTTAGTCAAACTGTCATCTTTCTTTATTTATTAGATGAAGGTTCATCTTTGCTTGTACTTATTCCTACAGGCATTGGATCTATTATTGAGGTAATGATAAAAGCATTCGTTAATTATTGTTTTTTATAAATATATTTTATATTTGTAATTTTATTAGATGTGGAAATTAAAGAAAGTGTTGAAACTTAGACTTAAAAGTAATAATAATAATAATTATATGGCTGAAATTAGAACAAGGGAATTTGATGCAGAAAGTATGCGTTATTTAAGTTATTTATTATATCCTCTTGTCATTGGTGGTGCAATTTATTCTTTACTTTATCAACATCACAAAAGGTATAATATTGAAAATTATAATTTATTTTATATAATTTTTCAAATTTTTATGTACATATTTCAAATTTCAGTTGGTATTCATGGAGTATTAATTCTTTAGTTAATGGAGTTTATGCATTTGGTTTTTTGTTTATGCTTCCTCAACTTTTTGTAAACTATAAATTAAAATCTGTAGCACATTTACCATGGAAAACATTTATGTATAAAGCATTTAATACATTTATAGATGATGTTTTTGCATTTATCATTGTTACACCAACAGCGCATAGAATAGCTTGTTTTAGAGATGATGCTGTTTTCCTTATTTATCTTTATCAAAGATGGTAAGTCACACATTCTTATTTAATATTATATAAATATTTTATTCAAATAAATATTCTCTTATAGGCTATATCCAGTAGATAAATCTCGTCCAGATGTCGTTACTATTGATGAAGAACCTGTTGATTTTGAAAATTTAGATTATAAAAAGACAGACTAAAATGAACTTTATATTATTTAACATTTAATATTTATATCATATAAAAAAATAAAAATTATTATTATTATTAGTCACTATTTGAATAATAATGTACATATTATAAATGCCTAAATGCAATTCATAATATTTTAGATGTAATCTTTTGTTATATATTTACACTTTTACAAAAAAATGTTGAAATATAAATATTTTTCATTATAATCTATTAAAAAGATAACAACATTATTATTAAAACATGTTAATTGTTTTTGAAAAAAAAAAAGAAATAAAAGAAAAAAATATATATAATATATTTTAAATAAATAATCACAAATAAAAGTACTGAATAAACCTAATATTCAATACTTTTTTTATTTCATATATTTATATAATTATTCTAATTCTGTTCTTCTCCCATGTTCTCTTTACTTATACTTATTCTGTAAAATTCATCTTAAGATATGAAGTTTAAGAAATGATTTCGATATTCTGTACGTTCGTTTGTAGATATATAGTATTAATCGCAAATATATATTATATTTGCAATTATTAAAGAAACACATTTAAAAAGATTACAATTTTTATTTTTTCTTGTGTCACTTGTATTTATATAATTTAATAATGCAAAATTGTTTAGTCGCATTAACAATGATGAATTTGTAACTGGAATAAAGAAATTTATAATGTAATGTAAAAAATCAATGATAACAAATATAATAAATACTTATTTAAATTCTTAAATTATTATTAAAACTATACAGTAGTGACACGATTAGGATCAGCAATCATTATAGGAGTATTATTTATTGCATCACTGGCAAGACATGATAGTTGCAAATGCATGGACGTTGCTACTTTTGATAATAACATGTCGATTCGCATACAATCATCTTTGTTAATAGGTTGTGGTATTGCATCTAAAGCTTCTTCAAAAAAATTCCTGCAGATTGAAAAATAAATAAAATATTTTTCTTTTTATTCGTATAATGAAAGAAAAAATGAAAAATAAATTATTACTTTGCCCTTGTTGTACTATAAGGTTTTAAAGCGTCCTTTAGAAGAGTAATATCAGTACGTGCTTGCACAATTCCAGCTGGTCGAAATTGAGTAACACACGACATAAGTCTTGCAAGTTCTTCTGCTACAGTCTCAACTATATGAGATAATACTCGTTGTAATAAGGCTGGTGCAACACGGCGTACCTATAAATATATATATATATATATATATATATATATGATTACAAAAATTATATCTAATAATTAAAAATTATTTGTGAACAATAGATACCTCTGCATGAACTGCAATTAAATTTGCTAGAATTTCTTGTGCATATGGTCTTACATGAGTAGGTTCAGTCTCAAAATCCCATTCTAAGCCGCCTAGATACATACTAGGTTCAATTGTACCAACTAATGGATCGCAGCGACGTTCTAGATATGCATCCAAAACAGCTGTATCTAATGTACTGAGTTGTGTCCAATCAGAATTCCATCCAATTGCATTTGATAAATTTGGATAATCTTGATTTTTCAATATATCTCCAATTCTTGGTAGAATGGTATTCAATGTATAACGAATATTACTTAACGAGATTAAGAGGCATTGTTCCCACGTCTGATAAAAAATTCAGAAGTAATGCTAAAATATAGCACTGACTTCAAAAGATGCTACAAATTTTCTTATTTTTTTTTCTTTTTTTTTTTTTTAATTGTAATTAATATCTATTCTTTCTGAAATAATTTTTTCATTTTATAAATAAAACATGAAACTTACAGGGCCTTGATGTTTATTACTCTTGCTCTTATAACCAGAAGGAGAACCAATTAATTGAGATACAGAAGATTCGTCATCATCAAGAGCTTCCTCGCAGCCACTGAATGCCAATTGTTGTAAACATCTTGCAAACGATGTAAACAATGTTTTAACAGAATTATAATATAAATGTTGATGCGTCGAATTAGCAAATAATGATCCTTCTCGAGGACCACAAGCAACTACTGTATCTCGCGCACGTTTTGAGACTTCCAAAACCATTTCTTCGAATAAGTATGGCTATATAAAAACAAAATTAAATATTTAATAAAAAAATATATTCACATAATATTTTTACAAATAAAATTTGATTATTACCACTTTAGTAACACCACCATCTTCATTCAAATATTCGATTTGCCAAGTTTCTTTTTTATGTAAAGCAGCTATGTTATCTGCAGTTTGTTTAAAAAGCGCACCAAAACACTGCAATCTGATCTTAAAATTTTAGTTTATTACATAATAAAAATAAAATATATCATAATAATATTTTGTACCTTAAATCAAGTATAAATTTTCCAAAAATATCTAATGCATCACTCGGTAAATCCAAATGAATCAATGAAGCATACATTTGCCTAATCCTACGTAAAACATGTAAAAGCCATGTAGCATCCAAATCATTACTACATATATTTTTCATGGCTTCCATAGCATGTTGCATACTTGATAATACTAGATTCTGTATGAAAATAATTTTTTTTTATAATAAAATTTGTATTTTTAATGATAATTCATTTGATAAATAGTTTATATACCTTAAAAGGTATTTGTTTCTCTGCATCCACTACTACATGTAATTGTCCTGTAAAATAACTTTGACCTAATCTCCATAAATCTGGTAATTGTTCAACTATTATATCACAAATTGTTTCAATACATGATATTTGTGGAGGAATATTCATTCCATCATTTTTGTCCGATTTTGATTGTTTATTATTTTGTACTAATTTTATTTTGTTCAAATTTTCTCCATTAGAATTATCTATTTCCAAATGTTCTTGCATACAGGTAGTAATACTTTTCTTTAAATAATTTGAATGAGAAACTGAAAAAAATTATCATTATCTTCAGTAAATAAGATATAAAATATTTTAGAAATATATATACCTATTGCATCCCAAGCTGGATCTCCTTCAGCTTCTAAATTAACAAGATTTCTAATTATTTTTTTATGTTCTTCCAAACTAAAAGGCATTTCTTCAAGCTTATTTCTTAAATGCGTTTTTAACATTATAATTCTATTATCAATTTCCTGTAGTATTTTTTTAAAAACTTCAACTTCTGTATTTTTAAATAAATTTTTTACTCTTGTATAATCATTAATTACAAGATCATAATTGCCACGTTTTATATTTTTTTCTATATTAATTGGCATACAAAAGAGGAACTTGTATCTCTGCATTACAGACAAAGCATTTCTTGTTGCATCTGCTCTGTCTCTTCTTGCTAACACATCATCAAACAATTTATTAGCTTCTGACATAGATTGTCGAATAGCTTTTTCTAATTTTTCAGTAGGATCACTACCATATGTTTTTATATCTGTCTCAAATTGTTCTTTTAATAAAATTATTGTATCTAATTGTTCCATTACTGATCCTACATTAGCCTAAAGAAAAAAATTTTAAAAATATAAAATATAGATAAATATAAAATATAAAATAGAGATATATTAATATTTTCTTCAATAATAATAATGTTAATTTTTGTTTTTTATTGTAATAGTTACCTTTAAAAATGATAATTGACCTTCTTTTTGAGAATTAACTTTTCTTTTAAGAAAAGCTAATCCAGCTTTTAAATCTTCAAAAGTAGTGGCATGGTGATGTTGCAACAAAAACCAACCAGGATGAAATTTTTCACTGGTAAGATCTCCACTGCCTTCTCCAAAAAGTTCAATTAATTCATCTTCAGGGTACTTTTTACTATAAAAAGATATATTAAAAAATTTAACATTAACTCTTAAAAAAAGATAGATAAACATACTCATTGCCTTCTACGCTTAAACCTAAAGGGTCTTCTTGCTGATAATTTGTTGGGGAAAGTGTTCTTCTTCCCCAAACAAAACTTTGCATAGGAGCTTCTTCTACCCATACTGCAGATTCTTTCATAGGACCTATAGTTTCATGATAACCACGAAATTGTACTGTTGATGTCCCAGGTCCTCCACTACGAGTAGTTACTATAATATCACCTCGACCTTTACAAGGTCCTGATCTGGCAATGATTTTATTAGAGGATTTCCATTCTGCTGATAAGAGGCAATCACATCCACATATTGTTAAACCTGGATGTATTAAAATTTTTTTTAAAAAAGAATTTTTTTTCTATGAAAAAAATATATTTTTAAATAATTTAAAAAATGAAATTAACCTATGAGATCGTGCACTTTATTGCCTAAAAATTCACCACGAACTATAACACGAGTTCCTGGAGGACCTTCTTTAGGAGATATACCTGTTACTACTGGTGGTGGGCCCATCTTATTAATTATATTATAGTAAAAAATTCCACTATTTTTACACAAATAAATATTGATTATACATAATCTTTAGCTCAATAATTAAAAGGGTTTAAAATCCTACACCTTCCAACACAATAAAAAACTACTACCATTTTTTAAAAACTACAAATTTTTCTATAAATTTATTTTTTATATTAATAGATAATATGAATAGATTAAAAAAAGAAATAATCTCTGTCAAAGCAAATGATGACTGATAACCCACTGTCAGACATGTCGATATCAGAAAGAGTGGGAGATAGATAAATTCAATATCAAAGCGAAGCATAGATTTATAAAAAAAAATATATATATATTTTTCAATAGAATTAACAATAATACATAAAACAATTTCATCGAATTTTTATCTTTAAAAATAATGATTTATATATAAAATGATTATGATTGAAATGCATTTTCTGAAAAATAATTTATATTTAATTTATATCTATAAATTTTTGTATTTATTTTTATTTATTAAGACAATTTAAAATTTTTTAAATTTTAACTATTATTATATAAAGTTAATAAAGAATTATTATTTAAGTTCAAAAATATAAATAATTAACAATTTTTATATATATAATAATATATAGTAGTATAATGATGATATAATCGAATAAAACAAAATACTTTAAAAGAACATGTGTATTTTTTATTTAAATATACGTATAATATAATATATATATACATATGCATATATAATAAATCATAATAAACAAAGAGATTTGCGCATGCTTGTCTTAAAAGATAGAATGTATAGAAAGGTTGTGGAGATATCAATATTCGTATTGACAAATTTAAGTTGATTGAAAGTAGACAGGTATTGTTCCATGAAAATTCTTCTTTATTTGTGATCGATTGATGCGCCATCTCCGAAATATGAAAGGGCAATGCTAGTTAGTGCGCATTAGTGTGTCTACCGATCACAGAGTATAGTTGCTTGAGTATAGTTTACCTGCCAAACGTGTATCTATGATTGCTCAAGTTTGTATACTCGTGCTATCTTCGTTGTATTTCGCTAATTTTCATGCGATATTGAGTCTAGTTGGAAATACGAAGTATTTGCATAGTGTATACAAGTGCGCATTAAAGAAGGAGTTATGGGGGACGCAGCGATGAACGTCGCAGCGTCCGGTGGCGGCGGTCAGCGTGTCGTTAAGGAAGGCTGGCTGCAAAAACGCGGTATTGAAGCAGTTTCATAATATTTATGTTTACTTTATTTTATTTCATTTGGATAGAATACAAATTCGAAGAACCTTTTCTCACTTTCTCACATGTTCTTTTTTATTATTATACTTTTCTTTTTAACAAAATATTAAAATTAAAAATATTTTTTTATATAAATAGAAAGCAATTTTAAAAGTTTTTTTATTCAAATTTTCACTGTTACATTTAAAGTTTTTATAAATAAACAATATGCTTTTGATATTAAGAAAAAATAATAAATATATTTTATTTTGATATATATAGGAGAACATATAAAAAATTGGAGGTCAAGATATTTCGTTTTACGGGATGATGGCACATTAGTTGGTTTCAAAGCTAAGCCAGATCAACAAATGGCAGCTGCAGCACAACCATTGAATAATTTTACTGTTCGTGGTTGTCAAATTATGTCTGTAGATAGACCTAAACCTTATACTTTTGTTATAAGAGGTTTACAATGGGCTGCTGTAATAGAAAGAACATTTCATGTAGAAACAGAACAAGAAAGAGAAGATTGGGTAGCAGCAATTAGGTTTGATTTTTTCTAAAAAAAACAAAAAACAAATTTAAAATATTCAGCAATTTAAGCTTTCTAATATTTTTCATTTTTTTTTCTTTTAGATATGTAGCTGCTAGGTTAGCAAGTGAAAAACAATCTCAACAACAATCTACACAGATGCAACATTCATCATCATCTGAAGATGTTGATATGGAATCTTCAGGAGGTGGTAGGTCAGACTCTTGTGGATCTGTTGGAGTGGTATCTTCGGATGTAGATGGTGGCAGTATTGATGAACTTTCTGCAAAATTTAGTGTTCAAGGAACTTCTAGTAGTAAAAGTACAGGAAAAAAAAAAGTTGTACGTTATATAATAATATATTCATCATAAATCAAAATTGAAACTTTTAGATGCTTTATTAATATGTATTTTTCTTTTTATTATTTATTTCAGACTCTTGAAAATTTTGAATTTTTAAAAGTTTTGGGAAAAGGTACATTTGGAAAGGTAATTCTTTGTAGAGAAAAGGCAACAGGCCATTTATATGCTATAAAAATATTACGAAAAGAAGTCATTATTCGTAAAGACGAAGTCGCGCACACACTTACTGAAAATAGAGTATTGCGAACCACAAATCACCCGTTCCTAATCGTATGTGCTTTAAATATCATTATATTATATAAATATATATTATATATATAAAACATGTATAATTGATTAATATTAATAATATTGATAATATTAATTATTATATAATGTTTTTATATTTTGCAGTCCTTAAAGTATAGTTTTCAAACAGCAGATAGGTTGTGCTTTGTAATGGAATATGTGAATGGTGGAGAATTATTCTTTCATTTAAGACGGTCTCGTGTATTTGGAGAAGATCGTACTCGATTTTATGGCGCTGAAATTATTTCAGCCTTAGGTTACCTTCATTCGCAAGGTATTATCTATCGTGATCTCAAATTAGAGAATCTTCTTTTAGACAAAGATGGACATATTAAAATAGCTGACTTTGGATTGTGTAAAGAAGATATTACATATGGTAAATATATTGTATATATATTTTTAGATTTAAAAATGATAAGAAATAGTAATAACATTTAAAACACTCAGGAAGAACGACGAAAACATTTTGTGGAACTCCTGAATATCTTGCACCAGAAGTGTTAGAAGATAATGATTATGGACGAGCTGTAGATTGGTGGGGAGTTGGTGTTGTTATGTATGAAATGATTTGTGGTCGATTACCTTTTTATAATAAGGACCATGAAAAGCTCTTCATGCTTATTGTAATGGAAGAAGTAAAATTTCCTAGAACAATCAGTAATGAAGCAAAAGATATGCTTGGTGGTAAGTAAATAGTGGATAAAATCGATATTTTTATTTTTTAATTTTTAATTCTTTTTTTTAGGATTACTTATAAAAGATCCAAGCAAAAGATTAGGTGGTGGACCTAATGATGCAAAAGAAATAATGGATCATGCATTTTTTTCATCAATTGATTGGTCAGATCTTGTACAGAAAAAAATTCCTCCTCCTTTTAAACCTCAAGTAACATCAGACACAGATACTCGATATTTTGATAGTGAATTTACGGGTGAAAGCGTAGAACTTACGCCGCCTGATCAAGGATTTTTAGGTAGTGGAGGTGGTTTAAATTCAATAGCTGAAGAACAAGAGCATTTTCCCCAATTTTCTTATCAGGAAAGTCACTCGGCAGCAACTTCTTCCATTGTTTCCATTAATCACTGACAGTATCAAACGTTTTCTTTGTTCACATATTGAAATGTAAGGCTAAATGCATGAAAAAGTCAGAGACATTCGATTTTATGACGAATATTCGTTCTTTTGTCTACTAATTTGGAAGAATTTTTTGTTATACAGATAAATTGAAATATTAGTTATTTTCTCTAATTTATGATGCTTTTTTATGCATCTTTAAAAGGTTTTAACACATATCTCCAATGGCAGATTAGTGTGGTTGCGTTTACGTGCGCATACATGCACATACTCATTGAAATTGTACATGAAAAAATTATGTACCATAAGATTCAATTAAATTAATATTTATACCTGCTGAGTAGGTTCGCGGTGATATAATGGGGATTGAATGTTAATTTAAATCGAAAGCAAAATAAGAGAGATAAAAGCTTGTCCCCTAAATTATGTTACGCTATAAAGAGTGGCATGTTTCTTCTATATTTGGAGGAACGATATTTGATAATCGTAGCTACAATTTTTTTTTTTAATGACAATATTATTCGATATTTTGGCTTCGTTGTCGATTCTAACGTAATAATTTATAAAAAAGCAGTTCCTTGTTATTTTTTTCTAAATTTATTAGTCAAATATTATAACAGAAGCCAACATAGCAAATTACACTTGACAAGGAGCCAGTCAATGGACAAATGGATTCTCCATTTTAAAAGTAGAGGCATAGAAATATTAACAGCTTTAATTGAATTATTATGTATATCAGAAATTTATAGCATTAAAAGAAAGCGTTTCTTTGTTATATTAGTACTCAAATTCGGAAATATTCTTTTTCCTTAGTACGAATCGTATTATTCATCATATATCATTGACAAATAATGATTTACTGTGAGAATCAGATGGAAATATGAAATGCTACCCTAATATTATATTATTAATATTATATGCTATAATGATTATATATACATATATTTATATTTTAACAATTAAAGGATTATATTGTACGTATGCATTATTAATAATTTCCATCTCATTTGTAATTAGCAAATTTTTGTAGTTTATTCGTTTCTATGCAGAAAGGAATAGGAAATTTTTTAAAATAGAATGAAAGTAAATTGTCTTTAAAGTTGGTAGATATGCAATTTTGCTATTTACCATAAAAGAGATACAAAGCAGAAAAGAAATATTTAAATATTGTTTTAATTCATCCTAAATTATATTCTATATTTTATGTTTTACATATTTTATTTATCAAGAAGATTTAAATTGTATGCTGGTAAGATATCATCTTTTATGAGCCAAACATGGTCCAAAACAGCACCTTCCTTGTCATCGGATACCTGTAAATGACAAATTGTAAAATGAATTACAACAAACATTCCTTGTACCTTTTTTTTCCATGTTAGCTAATACCTGTTCAAGATAAAGATGAGTTTGATTATATGCTTTCATCCTAGTATATCCATAATCAGAGCTGCGATAGGCAGACCAATTTGGTTTATGTGAAATAAATTTTTCACGTCCTTCCTTACATCCTGCTGACCCAGTTACTATATGTACAGGTGCCTTATAGTTTTTATATGGCTTTTCATAACTACCATTTTGTACCTATGATTATTTTATTTTTCTTATTTTAAATGAAATTAAAGATATCGCTTCATAATTATAGATTACCTTGAAGTTGTAGACAGGCCATAAACGTTCATAACTATGTTCATGAGCCCATAACAATAAATCTACTTTGTATTTGAAAAAAAGATCTTCAAGACCAAACCAATTTACAATTGGCAAACCAACTCTGACTAAACTTTCGTGATTAGTGCAATCATCGGCATTTGCATTACTGCAATACATTGGTCTATGACCAAATATAACTATCCATGGTCTTTGTGCCCTAAAAATTTTGTTATTAGATAATTTTTAATTCTTAATTATTAATTCTGCAATATGACAAGGAAATATATAAATCTACCTATTTTTAGGCATATTTGCTTCCATTAAATCTTTTTTTAACCATTCATATTGTTTAACAAGTTGCTTTATACCATAATTCATAAAATAATAAGCTTCTGTTTCTATTCCTACAAAGTGTACAGGTCCTATATTAAAACTGTACCATAAACCTTCAGAATCTCCAGGCATAGTAAAACGAAACCTATTAGATTTACATTATAACAATTGAGAAATTATAAAAATAAATTAACCAAAATAGTTTTAAGCTTAAAATATATTCTGACCTATAATTACTAAAATTATATTTTTCTTCGTGATTACCAGGTACTGTCATATATGGTAAATAAGCAGCAATTCCTTCTATTTGTTTCATGAATTCATCACCAACACGTGCATTATCAGAATTCATATCATATGCAAAATCTCCAATATGAATCGCTGCATTATATAATCCACGTTGTGCTTCTTCTTGCAATCTAGATAAACTTTGAGCATTTTCATTACCCATATCACCAAAGATAACAATGTGAGGTGACCACTTTGTTGATTCGTCAGGAATAGTTTTCAAATAGAATATATTTGACCATCCATATTTGCTACCACAGTGATAAACTATTAAAAGATTTATATATATACACTTTATAAAATAAGTATAGAATATGACGAATAACTAAAAAGTTATTTTACTTACTATACTTGGTATTAGGTGTTAAATTTTTTAACCATACTCTGTGAATGTATTGTTTTTGTTTTTCATTCCCACCATCAACAAAGAGGGTAGAATTTCCTGTAGCTGTTAGAATTAATCCATTTATTCCATATTCCACAATTGATTCTTGAGTATTATTCTTTGTGGCCCATGTTACAACAATATCATGAATATTATCTAAAAGTTATAAAATATATATATTATATTCCATTGATGATAAGAAAATTTAAAAAAGAGAAACAATGTATTAACGAGATAAATAATTAAAATATATATTACCTCCATAAGCAAGATGAACAGCTTCAGGTTGATAGTAAATAACATTACATACTGTGAAAGAAATTAAGGATAAAAAAACAAGTTCAATGAACAAAGCCATCTTATTAATTCATCCAGAAATCAAGTTGTGCTAATATATTATTTAGAATAATTTTTAAAAATCTATTTCATTATTTATCATATATAAAAACACTAATATTCTTTAAAATCCAAAAGTTCAAACTTCAAAAACTTAAAAAATTCGATGAATTATTGTGATCTTTCAAATGTAAAGAATTACTGCATTTGTGCATAATAAATATACTTTTATTATCTAAGATCGACACAAATGAGTCAGGCATTATCAAAAAAACTTTTATCGAGTATTCAATTTCTATCAGCTATCGAAGTTATTGAACGTAAAACATGATTTTAGATTCGATATTTTCATTGAATTTCAATATTATTTAAAAAGAAAAACAAAATATTAATTTGTATTCTAATAAATTATCTTAAACACTCGTAATCCAAATTCACATGTTAGCGCCATCTGCAGAGTATAAAGCATTACATTTAATCAAACGCTATATCATAATTGCAACATAATGCATTTACGTCAGAATATACAGAAGACTGATCACAATGAATAATCAATGGTAGCAAATATTTCATTAAAAATTTTGATTCGTTAAGTTCAAAATAAATGTCATAGATAATTACTATAATTATTCAAACGCAATTCAAATATAAAAAGTTAAATAAAAGCAATAAATTTTATTTGTCTTGAGTATTAATTGGAAATATTTGTAAATTAATTCAATATTCATTTTGTAAGATGAAAATTGAAAGAATATAACATCAAAAAGACAGGTAATTATAACATCCTTAATATTGATTACATGCTCTATCTGTTTCTTCATAAAAATCTTTCATTTTCTTATTCGCATACGAGTTCATTTTAATAAATAAAATATTATATATTATATATTATATTATATATAATAAATAAAATATATTCAATAAACGATGAATTTTTCAAACATAGAAGATATTTAAACAATATAAAAAATATATGAAAATAGATATTTCATTAATTTCTTAATTTATACATTAAAAAAATATATGGCAATCAATTCAATTATAAATTATAATGTAATAATTTATATATTAAAATATATTTATTTCAATAATATATAAAAGTAGAATAGAAACACGAAGAATTTTATGGAAAAATAATAGAATAAAAGATAAAAACGATAGGATTGGTAGTGAAGTCAAAGATGGAGGGGTTACCGCCACGAGAATAACGACGGCGCTGTACCAACCGCTACTGTCGCCGCTTTGCGGCGAGGGATGGAAATCAGCAGATGACAAGGGATGTCAGGGCTGCTGCCGCCGTCGGTTAACACGCACAGGTTCACACCCATCTTCGACAATACATTTTAAAGCTTCGATATCGCGGGAAATGGATAGAATGACTTTAAAAGGAAGCAGTTTCACAGTGTTGTGAATCGATGAGATCAAATTGTGTATTATTGTCGGAAATGTTGTTTCTAATCTAATATAAAAAAGTGTGATGTGCTTCAGGGTAGATCAAAGTGATTGAATATATTACTAGTTTACGAGATCGTTCAACAGAGACAAAAGAAGATACATTATATATATAT